TCCTAGTAAGACCTTAGTTTGTATATATATGAAGAGCGTGACATAATACAGATGAGTGAAGCGTGAACGGGGGAGTAGACAAATAGAGCATTCCTGTTACTTATTACTCAAACCTCTGCCTCAAATTTTGGCAGAATGGCAAAATTGTGTAACACTTTAATATGAAGTAACAGACCATAACTCCAGGATGTTAAATTAGAAAACTAAAAACAAGGTTTTTATGGTGGAAAAGAAATTTCATAATTTTTCCTTTAAATGCAAATTTAGTCTTATGTTATGTTATTGACTGTTTTTAGCAATAGGAGATGTATTATGAATAAACATGTTTCATTCAGTCACATTTTAAATTCCTTTTTTAAGTAACAAATAATGAGTTTAAACGAACTAATGATTCCACATGGAATGGACAAGTAAGTGAGGCTACTATGGATTTGTAAATAATAACAGAGAATAATAATTAAGATACCACTTAAGCGAATCTACGTCTAAGATCAGGAAACGGTATATTTTTTTTACATAAAGTTGTGGTCTCAAATGTATTAAATGATCAAATTTTGTCTTTTTTTCGTAACTACTATTTAGATTTTCTGATATCTTTTTAAAAATATTTACATGTTTAACGCGGTGGAAATTGTAGATTTCGACAATAAAGTGCTGTAAGGTACTACAAAGTTTCTTTAATTTTACTATCACTTAAAACCAGTTCAATTATTTCGCATTATATATTATAGTTGTTTATATATCGTGGTGGCCAAATCTTTGTAATTCATATAAACATGAAGTAGCAAAATTCAATATTCTCCATACTTAAAAATGTTTAAAAAAAGTTCTCTCTGAAGCAAAAGAAGTTCGAATTTATGTATTTATTCGACTTCAACATAAACTATCACAAAGATTTTTTACGATTATTTACTTGAGACTGTATTTTTAGGTTTAAATTAGTTGCAGTTTGATTTTACTAGCTTTATCTTATTATTAACAATAGATTAGAAAATAAGTTATAAAATGTGTCCACATCAGCCATTTGATATTAGACTAGTGTGGGCAAAACAATTAACACAATTAATAAAATGTATAAATCTAAATCTGTTTATTTATCATTAAAACTGAAGATAAATGTTAAAAATTTTATGAGGAAAATGCAAGATATGTTCAAAATAATGATTAGTAAATTTGTTTGGCAAATAACTGTCAACTCCAGCCCCCTCACCCTCTATAATAGGTCATATTTTAAAGTCGCTCTGGAGAGCAATTGTGGGGAGAATATACATGATTTTCATGTATATTCTCTCCACATGAATTTTCACAGTTTAAAATCTTACTGTGAACTGTATTGTTATTTATTTGAAATTTTTAAACTTCAAGTACTTAATTTGAAAAAAAAATACTAATAAGCAGTTTGGAGTAAAAATATCTCGTTTTAAAAATTTGGCTTATATTACTCTATGACCTTCAAATAATAAAACAATATAATGTAAATATGGAAATATATGTTAAAAATTAAATAGTATAATAAAATTTTAATCAAATGAAATAATTAACTAATATTAAATAAAATAAAACTAAATTATGATTATTATATGTTTTACTCACACTGAAATCCTGTTCAAAAAGCATCCTTCGACTGAAAATGCAATATACTCGTACTAGTAAAAATTCGAACTTACTTCGTAAGTCACAGAAAATAATCATTGGAAGCAATTACTTTCAATAAATCATTGAATAAATTTTTAATTTGAAGAGATATCTTCAGTTTAATGACTCTGTAAGTAATAAATTTTTAAAAAAATAAAAATTAGCTTTTTCGGAAAACCTTTTTCAACTTAAGTATGAAGAGAACTGCCCGAATATGATAAAATTTAGCGTGATTCTAGCTCTATGGGAACACCAAAAATCACTGTAATTTTTATCGAAGTGCTTTTGTAATGACTTCAGTAAAATGTACAATAAAATATCGTTTTTTAATGTGTGTTAAAATTTAGAAAATATCGTAAAATTTGGTCATTTTATCATGATACCATAGAGCAGGGTATAAAAATCATTTATTCAATTAAACTTACTCTTCAGTTTTGTATTGTTACTAAATGTGTGGTTATAAGAACTATAATTTTGAAAATCAGTATTTCCGGTTAGCCATAATCATATGAATGGTTTAAATACCATAATTTTTTTATACCGGAATTGCATACATTTATTATATTTTCTTTTACCAGAAATGTCTTTTCTATACAGTACAGTAGTTTTTTCTCCATGTACAAAAATGTTCGCTATACAATGAACTTTTTTAAAAATGCATCAATATTAATGATCCTTCTAAAATTTAATAGTATAAGTACTGTTAAGTACTGTAAGATTAAGAGTGAACAAAATTATTCTGATTTTAAATAAAATATGCGTGCGTTATGAGTTATGATTTCTATAGACGTAATATATATCTGAATAATTTCCCTTAAAAAATTACATATAAGTTTATGACCGAATTAGAAAGTAAAAAATTGAAGGATTGACATTGCAGGAAAAGTATTATAATGTATGGCATTTGTCAGTCTACAGTATTTGAAAAGTACTGGATTAAAACAACTTATATTTAAATAAAATACTAAACATAATATTTAATAATTTATGCAAAAACAGACATTGATTAGACTTTGAGATAATATTCTCAAAATTTACTTACTTTTAAAGAAAAATCTAAAATTGCTTCCAAAAAATATATGAGGAAACACTTCACATGCCTGAATAAAAAACCTGTTCTGTACCAGAAAAAAATGCTTTCGACCAACATCATTTAATAAACAACCTTCATATTTTTATTTAGTTATTTTCAAGTTTTAAATACCTAAAGATTTATTTATCAAATACTTCGATTTAAGTCTATTTGGTTTCAATTTGGCTTTTTGATTTATTTAATCAAGAAAACTGATTTACAAGTTTCTTTTCTTTGATTTTAAACGTTTGTAAAGTTTCGTTTTTGTTTATTGCTAGTTCTTTCAAGCAAAAAGGAATACGATCGGTGATATATACAGAAGTTTATTACTAAATAAACAAATATAATTTCATTTTTGATCATTGTGAAACTTACTTTTCTGTACATTTCATGCATCTTTTGGTCACTTTGTAAAGTACATAATTTTGTTTACTAAAATACCACGAAAAATGTACCAATTTACACAAAAACAAATGTAAAACAAACTTCTCTACTCCATAACTTAACTTTTTATAAATATGATATATGTTTTAACGGAAAAAACTATTTTAATACTTTCTTTGCTTCTAAAAGGAATTAAAATGTCTGTAAATTTAATTTACTATGAAATTAAGCGCTTTCGATACGTGGAATAAATTAAAATTATAAATCTTTTTTAAAAGTTAAATTACATTTTCATAAACACTTTTTTGAAGTAGCTAATAACTGTTGTTTTTTTTAGAGTTTCTGCAACACATTTTTTAGAGATTTCACTGTTGGTGAAAAACATTACTGTATTTTGCAAAATTACTCTAATATTCAACAGAGCTTGATGTTTTCTAAAACACATAATATGTTGTATTTTTTTATTATCATCTATAGCATTACTTCGATTACCTCATTTGAATGTAATTTAGTTCAAATGTAAGGAGCATCTCATAGCTTTTTAATTCTGTATGGCAATAATTAAATCCAATAAGTCATAATTTATTATTTGTGAATAAAATTTTAGAAACGATATGTAGTTAAAAAGTAAGAAATGCTTAGAAATTGTAGAAAAACTGAATGTATGATTTGCAAAAAACTTTTAAAAAGACAAATGTTTAGAAAACTTATAACTAAATTTTTCTAAATCTCATTAATCTCAATACATATTTGAACAATTTTGTCGCATCTTAATTATTTTTCCTATAAAGTATCAACTGCAGAAACTATTGGAAATCAGCAGACTTTTTTTTTTGAAAGTTAAAATGAAAAACATCAAAGTAGACATCTTTAAAATATATATGTTATGTCCATGTTGAATTTCAGCATTTACAAAAAAAAACTATTATAAATGCAAGCAAAAGAATTATATCGAATTATGTAATACATGTTTAAATGGTTGAATAAAGTCAATTCAAAAATTTTAAACAATTTATATGTACATATGTATAAACAATTAGTGAAATTTTCTTAAGGAGACTCTGTATCCTTTTAAGAAATTACTTTGTTGTATTCAGAGCCACATAAATTATTTACAGTTTTACAACAGTCATATCACAGAAACTAAATCCAATAAAGTAAATAATAGTACGTCATTTTCAATTTGTAATCTTTTCATTAACTCATAATTCGTTTTGATTTCCTCATAGTTGTTTTTTTTCATAATTAGTTTTTATCTCCTCTTGTTAGCTTTTATATTTTTCAAACAGTAATCATTTTTTTTAATACAGTTCATATTTTTCTATTATCTCAAAAAAAAGTTTTACTTTTCTTTTGTCAGACACAGAAAAAGCATTGGAAAACTTTCAACTACTAACCAAAAGTTTTTTCTATCTGATTTTAAAGTAATAAACAAAAACTAATCGCACCCACTACTTTAAACTCATTTTCTACAAATAAAGATTTTTTCGCACATTATTCAATTTCTAAACATACATCTATTTAAATAACACAAATCAGCTAAAAAATGCTATTTCAGTTTCGAACAGAAATTGGATACAAATGGAATCTATTTAAGGTTTTACGTCTGTAAAACAGTATTGAAACTAATGAAAAACAAAAGTTAAATATAGTAGTTATGGCAAACACAGTTTTCAGACATTGCTCAGAAATTCTGGATTAGTTAAACAAGACAGTTTTCCTCTGTTAGATTACATCAAACATTTTAAAGGATACGGTGTCTCCTTAATATATATCTAATAAAGCACCATTAAATTACATAATACTTTTAAATCAATAAATGTTTGACGTTTTCATTTAAGTGTAGAAGTATTAAACAATTTAATACTCACCCTTAAAAGTAACTCTTTAAACATAAAAACCACAATAAAAGACATCAAAGGTGGAAAGAAATCTTAAGAGTTTAACTGGTTTTGAAACAAGTCAAAGAAATGCTTCTTCGTTAGGAGATTTAGGTCGAGATATAAAATGTGATTTCATTGTTCTATGAAAGTTATATTGTCTTTTTTTTCTTTTACAACAACAACACAGTAGTTGCCGAAACGCTCTTCTAAAATCTTTGCTCCAACATGCGTAAATTACAGGATTCATCCCTGAGTTTAGCCAGCCTAGCCATGTTACAATGGAAGATACGAGTTCTGGTTCTTTTATACATGACGTTCCGCAAATTCCAAATAGTACATTAACAATGAAAAAAGGAAGCCAACACAGTATAAAGACTCCCATTACTATAGCCAGAGTTTTTGCAGCCTTCCTTTCTTTTGTCAATTTGCCTAATTTCTTGCTTAAAGAAAAAGCTTTACCATGGCGACTAGTAAAGCGTGTAGGTGTACCATTTTCTGGTGATCTAGGAATTGGAGATGATTCGCTACTAGTTGAGGGAGCTATTTCTGCTAATAATAGCTCATCTTGACGTTTATCATTCTTTTTTGATGTTCTTCTAACTTTGCAATAGTCTTTTTCTTTAAAAGTAGATTTACTGGCTCCACCTCTGTGAATTCTTAAAGTCATGGATTGGCATGGTTTATTTGTTGCTCTGATATGCTTCATACCGATTTTTAAGCTCTTTGTTTGCTTAACTGCTGCTCTATATATGCGAAAATAAGTAAAAACCATAACAGAAAGGGGTCCATAAAAGGATATTATTGAAGAAAAAATTAAATAGCCAACATCATCTGTAAACAAACATTGGTTGTTAGGATATGGCTCAACCGAAACTGCTCTCCACCAAACAATAGCAGGAAAAGATATCAAAGCAGAACATAACCAGACTAAAGCAACAATAATTTTTGCTCTAAGAGGACTCATTTTACTGGGATATGTCATTGGATTGGTTATAGCCCAATATCTGTCAATTGATATTGCACATAGGTTCAAAATTGACGCTGTGCTAGCTAAAACGTCAATACTATGCCATATATCACACCATGCTCGCCCAAACATCCAATATTTGTCCATAACTTCATGTATTACACTAAATGGCATTACAACAGCCCCAACTATGCAATCAGCAGTTGCGAGAGATGCTATGAAATAGTTTGTAACAGTATGAAGATACTGCTGTTTTGCTATCGCAACCATAACAAGCAAATTGCCAAATACTGTAGCCAAACAAAAAATCATCAAAGTTATGGCAAGTGTTACTTGATAAACTTTACTATCAGTACCAGTTTCATTTATGGACGAGTTTTCGAATATGTAGTTCACATTCTCATAAGAATCTTCAGAGAATAATTCCATTATCGAAGTTTCAGACACAATTTCTGCTGGAGTTTCAACATTAGGGGAAATTCCATCAAATACGACGGATTGTAACGGAAAATATTCTGTTGAATCAAAGGACATATTTGAGCAATGAAGTATCTTAATTACATTTTATCAAATATGCAAGTGTTTATTTTCTTCTGCACAATGATAAAATTCCAACTCGTAAGCAACAAAAAGTTTTTCTTACTGTCTTTAAATTACCAAAACCCATAAAAGTAAATGTAAAATTTAAAATTATGTGGAATTGACTAAAAAAATTCCTCATTCAATTGCTACAAAGTTTATAACTTTTGCACGTGAAGAAAAAATTTAAAATCACAGTTATTTTCGTAGCACAACTGTTAAAAGTTTCTGCTTTAATTTAAAGCATATAATATTCACTACAAAACAAATCAAAGCAAAATTAAATAGCTCAGATTTTTTTCTCGAAAGTTTTGGAATAGTTGTTAATATGATCTTTTTATAAAATCATTCCAATTTCACTTGATAATGCTTTTAAAGCTTTTAAAAAAGGAAAATATATACATAAAATATATATCAAAACTTTTTCGTATGAAAATAATTATTTTATATTATTATCAAGAATAAGAGAACGGCAGAAAAACTTTAACTCAAATAACTCACAAAGAACTTAACGCTGATAGAGATGTATTGAGAACTAAAATGATGTTTTCCTTCGCCGGAGCTGTTTTCATCTGACCCACGTGTTCAGTGGGAAAGCCTACACGATAGGTTCGGTCGATTGGATAAAACACGTTTACTCCGTCCTGGTACAAAAAGATCGCCAAACTCTCCTGCCAAGTCAGCCAGCAGTTTGTAGTGGAATAGAATTAATAAATGGAATAGAGGAGTAGAATTATTATGCTTATCAATATGTGTAAAAAATGCTTAACAAAAATTATTTTTAAAAGTATTTTTATTGATGACGAGATTTCTAAAAACTTTGCCTAATAGAAATTTTCTAATTATATTATTTGCATTTATTATTTGTCTTTATATTATTTAAAGATTTTACGTTACAGGTTTTTTTATCTTATATTTTCATTAAATAAAAAATGTTGTAACATTTTTAAATTTTTTTTTGAAATTCATTCTCACTTTGTAATATTGTTTAGTAATACAAATAACTTGAAGTTTATAAAGTTGGTTTTAGAGTTCATATTAATATTTAATTTTTAGGTTTTTGTTAAACAAACTTTTTGTATTTTAAATTATGTAAAAAATAAATCTGATACCTGTAATAATTAATAATAATTAGACCAGTCACTAATAACAAAATAGTACATACTTAAATGAAATAGTATTTTATATTTCGAAATAGTATATTATATTTCGAAATAGTATATTATATTTCACTTCACGTTTATATACACTGTAAAAAATTTCGGTAAAAAGTACCGGCACGCTTTTTACCGTAAGATCCATTTTTACTGGAACATATTAAGGAATGAAAAATCTGATATATCATACTTTTTACAGTAATAGTTATTGTAAAATCACTGAATCATTCTAATTAAATAAATATTACTGTAAAAATTGAGGTACAATATTTCACGATAAAAATAGATTTTACGGTAAAACGGATTTTACGCATGATGTATCCGAAGTGGTATACCGTAATTTAATCCGGAAATTTTACATAAAATGTCATTCAATGTATTTAGTAAGGACATTCCTTTTTTCACAATATAAAACTGATTAGAATAAAAAGTTATCTTTAGTTAATTAAATAAAGTGAGCTATTAGAACTCTAAAAGAGGACCTAAAACATCAGAAATAATGATCTCATTATCATTTAAAGGAATAAAAAAATTTGATCATTAACAATTTAACTAAGATGTTATAATACGCTGAAATTGCAAACTTTTTAATTTATGTTTTTACGCTAGGGTAACTTATAGAATATTTTTTAAAATAGCAAAAATTTGAAAATACTAAAATATTTTTATTGTAAATAATGTTCCTGATTTTCACTCTCACAAAATTTGGTTTAACATTAAACTATAATATTAATATATTGAATCATTTTAAGGTACAAATTTGCTTAAAGCTAATGAAGTTTCAAATTCAACCATGTCACGGCACAAGTTAAACAAGTTACGGAATAATCAAGTTTGACAAGCACGATAATATAGTTTAATTTAGCACCATATAGAAGTTGCAGCATCCTTGACCGATAATACATAGTCGAAATTCATTCTAAAATAATGGTAAAACAACCGGCAGCAGTCTATCCGCGGAGTTTACCGTAAAGTTTACCTTTATGGTTTTTCCTTTATGGTTTTGAAACCATTTACAACTAGTATGGTTATAAGACCATGAATACAAAGCAATACGGTCTTTTAACAACTTACATGGTTTAACAACTTACATGGTTTACATTAGCATGGTTTCAAAACTGCAATATAAAAATTTAAGTGAGCATAAGAGTTGGATAATGTGCGTTAGAGAGTGCAGAGCATGAATCGAGGAGTGCAGGACACTCAAAACTCCTCAATTATCGAAGAAAATGGAAGAAATATTGTGGTGTCAATGTTGGGACTCGAACCATGAGACTGACAGATAGCTGTCATGAGAGTGACAGATTATCCCTTTTGTCCACAATAGGCACGCAGTAGCAAGAAACTAAGTAGCTTCATCAGGCTGGCTTAGTTGGTGCCATAAAATTCTGGTTGTTTAACCGCATTATGTGAAAACAGTTAATAACCGGTTTTCTCGTAATTAATATTTTAATTGCCATCTTATTTATGGCCATTTAAGTAGTTTGTTTGACTATAGAAAAATAACAATTAAGCAGATTGTTATCTATCCATTTTACATGGTAAGATCCACCATCATCTAAAAACTCTATCAGTGAAATATTCCGTTTTAGTTATAATAATATAACTGATATTAATTTCAATTAACCCTATATAAGAACTGATAACAAGCAAATAAGACGACTTTAATCTTTTTTCCGAAAAACTTAGCATGAATTTATTTTTTCGTAGAAATGTGTTTCAGTAAAAGAAAATCTTCACAAATATTTTTAAAACCTATATTCAGTTTTGCCAAATTTATTGAACACAAACAATTTAAAATAACAATTAGAATTTCTGAATTTTTCTTGTTTAATATTAAACGCAACTTTTGCTCTCTGTTGGATTATATTCAGTGTTACCTTTATCACTCACAGTATTTAGTACCTCTTATTTCTTCTTTCTTTCTGTAGATATCTGGAATAAAAATGCTTTAAAGCCAGACGATAGTTTTTTTTAAAGCCCTCACATCAATTGGGTTTAAAAACGTAGTATGCAAACAATGGAAAATTCCGGATCAAAGTACGGTAAAAAGTATGGATGCCTCATCCGTAAAATCCGTTTTTATCGTAAACTTTTGTAATGTAATTTTTACAGTAATATTTATTAGAGTGATTCAGTGATTTTGCGGTAATTATTACTGCAAATTTTACGATATATCAGATTTTTTTGTTCTCTAACATGTTCAGTAAAAATGGATTTTATGGTAAAACGTACCCGCACTTTTTACGGTAATTTGATTCTGAATTTTTTCACATTGTATCCTTTTGGTTAAACTATGTAGATTCAAATGTGTGTAAAAAATTCTTTGAAATCAAATTACTGTTAAATTACATGGAAATAATATTAAATAAATTGATTATTCTATTCGAAATTTTTACTGTGGTTTTGTAGTGGTTATTTGGTGTTACATAACCGAAACGAAATGAAAGTTTGTAAACTTGTGCTCTCTATATATGTATACTATCTATCTATCTATATATATATATATATATNATATATATATATATATATATACCGATAGATAAATTCTTAAAACTTACAAATAATAATTAATGTATTGATTCACGAATAAAGGAATTTTAATTGCCATATTGATGATTCTTTTCGAAACTCTCGAGTTTACTTTAACATAAGACAGGCACATTTACAGGAAAAAAAATCAAGATGCTAATAGCATTTATATATTCTCAACTGTAGGAATTCCTAGTTATGGCCCAAAATTGTGTCCGATTTAAGAGATTTCTCTAACTGTGCCATGCGTGCATTTTGAAGTACGTGAGAGACTTTAACTAAATGTCTAAAGTGCGCGATTGCGTGCTTAATATTGTGATACCGTTAGTTCTATCATTTTTTGGTCAGAAATTTAAGTCTGACTTCATAAAAGTGCACTTGGACCTCCTTAGGTTTCGGAAATTGGATGAATTTCATTAGTGTAATTGGGGTGTAGTGTTGATTTTCTTCTATTTTAAGAGTTTATCTCTTTGAAAATGAATTTTTGATTTGTAATGATAAATTTACAGTTAAAAACTAAACATCGTTACTCAGAATGTAGATTTTGGTGCATGAATCCAGATGAAATGCAAATAAATTCTTAGCATGTATTTCAAAAACTTAAAATTAATTCATTAAGTTTAGTTTGATGGTAATCAATTCCAATCTTCGTTATTACTTGCTCATGAAAAGTAAAAATTGTATGATCATGCCTTGGAAAGTGTATTACACTTACAAATGCTAGAACTGTGTGTTGAAAAATATAAAGATTGGCTTTTAGAAATGTACCTGTTGTAAAAATATTTTCTTCATCAGTCATTTTTCATCAGATGAACTAAGGATATTGTTTTTCGTAAAAAATTTATATTTAATTTAGATCTACTGCAAATACATCAATGACATCTACTTACCAGCAATGGTTGTTGAGAGGTTGTTAAATGTATACTCATTGCGAGCCGGTTAATTGATGATTCGGTCAAGTAAAAAAGTACAAGGTAATCGTTTTCCCTTTGTTGGCTAACCAGCACAAGCTCTGTGTGTAAATGCCGGCTAGCTGAAGATTTTCAATGCTGATTCGACTGTAGGCCTGCCATTCACTTTAGGGGCCGTCCACAAATAATAGCACGCTTGAAGAGTAGTGAAAGCATTCATGATGTGATATAGGGGAGGGAGGGTAACAAGAAATGTTATCACATATTTTGGTAACAATTAAAATTAGCATATAACATATTTGCGGCGTATTATTTTTTCCTTTTTTCAACTAAGATAAGTACGTAAATAATCATT